TTTTTTTGCTGTGTATCGGGGTTCAGTGTAGTGTTTTCCTTGTGTGCTGATATGCATCATGCGCACACTAAATTTCGCAAAACGCGATTTTTTATAATTATGTCAGTATCTTATTAAGTAACATTTCATTTCCAAATGTGTCAACATTAGACATATATTCTTCTAATTTAAAATCTAACATCAAGATAAAAACAAAAACAAATCCCAAGAGATTATTTAGTGCATGCAACATATTCTATATTTTTCAATGTTTGATATTTGTGTTATAACAATGTATATCGAGTACCTAAATAAACAGTGTGTCACCTCGTTTCGTCTACTGCTACTATTAAAACTAGATATGTAGACTATAAACGCGAAAGATGTCAAATAAATTTGAAGTAATATTCAGTATATTTTTTTCTATTACTTTAGGTAACCATGAGCATACTACTGTAGAATAATTCATTTTCGTGAGATTAAAATTTCGTGGTTTTCATATACTAGCCTGTTTCAAGGACATTATATTTCACTGATTTTTTATTTTCTGCTATTTATATCATACCAAATTTATGTTTACGTGGGGATTTAATTTCGTGGTTTTTTTATCCACGAAATAAACGAAATTTAATGTCCCACGAAAATTTATGATTTTTACAGTACGTACAGAGAACCCTCTCCTACCTTCATGTATCGTGCATGTCATATACAACATGTGACCTTATAAGTTCATGTTTTCTCCGACAAAACAACATTATATTCTGGAATGTTAGCAATAACAATGTTTCCAATATCAGCTTAAACGCCGCCGATACGTAAACACGGTCATTTATTTTCAGAACAGCTCTAATCTATTAAAATATGCAGTAGATTTATAATTATCCTAAAAACAACTCACTTGCAAGATTACTTCAATTAAATACAGGAAATCATTAAATTATCGCGAGTGCTTTTTTTTCTTTCTTTGTGTAGTGTAACAACTTTCCGGAGAATTCAACTCGCAAACGGAAAATACCGTGATGGGAAGTATTGATTGTTTAAAACAAATACCAAAAATGGTTTTTAACTAGCCTCGTATAGCAACTGTTTAAGTGTAAAAGCATAGCTGATCAAATTTTATTAAAATCAAAATTGTTTTCTTTTCTTTCAAATGATATATCAAATATGACAAATGATGAAACGTTTCAAACCTATATAATATTTGCATTAGCGGAATATTGATTGAATTATGGTAAAGGTAAAGGACAAACGACTGTATTTACATACCATAAGTGTATTGACCCTTGACCCCTGGTAGGGGGCACTGCCATCTAGTGTCTTAACTTCATTATAATGTAAACGTTTATCTGTAATATGAGCGGGCACGAATGCACTGCATATTAGCTGTGTATGTACAAGTGTTTGGTCGAACACGACAAGGTTGTTATGGACCTCTGATAGCAAGCTGCATTATCAAAACACAGGGTTGTTGTTATGTACATAATGCGTGTTTCGTTTTGGCTTTTTTGTCAATATATCTCGTTGTAAATTTAACTTTAACTTGTTAAATTGCATTTTAGGTAGACGACCCTAACACTAGTTGATATCTTGGCATGTAATCTGGTTCAAAAATCTGTATGATACATTATTACAGAGAGAAATGCATAGCTGTATGATACATTATCACAAAGAGTAATGCATAGCTGTATGATACATTATCACAAAGAGTAATGCATAGCTGTATGCTACATTATCATATTTTATCATAGAGAGTAATGCACATGTATTTGTACCTTCGTACCATGTGCTCTCAATGAAGTTTCTGCATTTCAGCATCATGTATTGGTAAATCATCAGAAATCCAAAAAATAAAAAATCTACAAGCCTGTATTAGAAACATGTAAAACAATAATTGTTGCAGACCACATTAGTCAACGCCTACTTTTTCTCTTATCAAAATGAGAACATTGATATGCCGACTTGTCTGATGTCTTTGTAATTAGGTCAAGAAAAGAAACTTCATAGTTTGATTTTAAGGTAGCATAGATACTGCAAAAGAGGAAATGTTCACGTTGTAACTTATTTAACTGATCGTGGTGTGGAAATTGTCGCGTTGTGACTTATTTAACTGATCGTGGTGTGGACATTATCGCGTTGTGACTTATTAAACTGATCGTGGTGTGGACATTATCGCGTTGTGACTTATTAAACTGATCGTGGTGTGGAAATTGTCGCGTTGTGACTTGTTTAACTGATCGTGGTGTGGAAAATATCGCGTTGTGACTTATTTAACTGATAGTGGTGTGGAAATTATCGCGTTGTGACTTATTTAACTGATCGTGGTGTGGAAATTATCGCGTTGTGACTTATTTAACTGATCGCGGTGTGGAGATTATCGCGTTGGTAATGGTTTTGAAATGTTTATATCCCAAATATCTATCATCTATAGGATCCATAAATTTATATTAGTGTGCAGATATTTTCGCCTTAATTTACTCGACGCGAAAAATGCAAACATTTCCACACGACGAAAATAGCTACTTTTACAGTATATCATATACAGAAAGTAACATTTGAGATGCAACAATCTAGAAAGGAGACATGTGTTTAAATAAATGATTTCAAATACAGTAAGTCAAAAAAGTAAATATTTACTGCCCTATTGCGTCAGTCCATTTTATCTAGGTATTTAATGAAACTGCAACCTCAGAGCTGAATTGATATTCGCTATTTTTAATTTCTTTACAGTTCAGGTATAAAATGACCTAATTATCATGAAGTGCTTTCCCTTTTCAACCTAAGTCAATGAAAGTAGTCGTATACACCCTATTGCTTTGCGTTTATCTCATATTTACGAACGTGAAAATTTAAACTTGGGACTTGTTTTACAAAGAACGTTTTACCCTTAACTTGTATGTTTTCGAAATATGGCTATAAAATATTCTGTTAAATAAAAATTATACGGTATCATGAAACGAAGACACTTAAATGTGGTCAATCTAAAAATGAAAACCCCTTGACCTATTTCTGTTATATGACAACTGGTTTTGAAAGTACATATAATCCTAACCATACAAAGCCATGAAAGCAATCATCTCTGTTAAACAGGATACCAAACTGATGACATCCAGTGTCACTGATACCTTTGTGTAGTACAGCATACATTTATAGATTGATGAAAGCCCCTTTCAATTGCCCTGTCCGTATATATTGCCTAAACAACCTTTCCAATACCACGGAGACCGTTGGTTTGATAAAGATACACTTCGTTGTCATAGTATAGGAACAAAAGTATGGCCTTGGTATTTGTGAATAAAACAAACGTCTGTGGTTGAGGTTCCCAATCGAATACTCCCTTACTGTTTGTTTTCCAAATTGATTTACAATTGTGTATGCTATATGAAAGCGGACATCCATTTGGGATCTGTTTCCGGAACCTACGTGGGGGAATCCAACTTGTCTTTGTAGCATACATCTATGCTGTCTGGTTTGTTTGTTGTCATGTTTAGTTAACACCAAAACTAATCAATATCTTCTTTAAATAGATAAAATATATGACTATGAAATAGTACAACAATCGTTCAAATTGAATTTATGACTTTTCAATAAGAAAAAACCCCAAACAGAACTCTCCCAAAGCACTGAAAATATAAGGCGACATCGAAAATGAGTGTTAACAGAAGACAACATTAAGAACTAATAAGGCAACAAAGCAAAAGGAAGGCAACATGAGGAATCCCAACAGAAAAAAACCCCATAAGTATGGCCCTTACTGAGTAATTCAGACATCGGCAGACGTATGTGAGGATTTTGTACATTATATGTGCCGTTGGTATTTGAAGATACATGTATTGACCTAAACGTAAAAGGTGTTGTAATAAAATAACATTCCGTGAAAAGCAACTTCAGTATCAGAAAGATACATGAAATATATTGTTTTTCAATCTATCAAGATTGAAACACTGGGTTTAAACAGCGTAGCCATGAACTTAAACCGACATGGCACTTAAAATAAATTATTTTCTTATTTCATTTCAAATAAACATTTATTATTTACATTGATTAATTTTAAAAGAATAAATAGAACAATGCATCGTGATTCAGGTAGATCCATGACTTCAGCAGCAATCATTTACTTTACCGTGTGATGTTAGAAACACGCCCCCACAAACAATGTAACACTGTATTTCCATTTCCCGTTTTATTATTTCATATATAACAACCGTAACTAATGGTACCGATACTGTGACATTACACAGCGGTACACGTGTATACACAAAACAGTTAGCACAGCGCTGTTTAACTCACTAAGTAAACACATGAACGGATCGTGATGATGATATATCACAATTGCTTGATATGACTTTGTACATTTTATAAAATTAAATGTCAACTATATTTGTGTATTTTGCAATTTAATTTTTAAAAATTGAAAACAAATTCATTTAAAATATGTTACTGACGGTTTTAAACATTACTGAAAATATTGTAAATTCCGCACTTTTTTAAACATTGTTTAATTGATTGTATGTTACATGTTATCGTAAATATTGATTTTTACAGTGTTCAACACAGAATACAATTTATGTACATTTGATTGAAAAATAGTTTATGTTTTCAATTAATTATTTCAAATATTTACCAAAATGCTCTACAGTCTCTTGCAATGTTTTATAAATATAAGGACAATGGCATTCATGATAAATAAATAAGGTGACTAAAATCTCACAGGGACTAAACAATGTTATATATTCAGTAACTGGTGAAGGGGACTATCTCCCTCTCACACAAGTACATAACTCAGACATAAACACATATAAATATCGTTCTGATATATATATGTGAAACACACACGATATGTACTCTCAGAAATGATGTAGTTTGTCCTTTCCCTTTAAATCTTTATAGAAATCCATTCGGAAGACATTGCTATTCGGTAATATATTGCAAGATAATTGAGCAAACGTCTCATCGAAGTAAACCATATTTCACGTCATGATCTACACAATTCTGTGTCAATACTGAATTGATTACTTTGATTTAAGCACAACATTAGGTTACGAAGCACTTTCTCCGAATCTTTTAAGACCGTAGATCGCCTATTGACTCATGTCTACATTTGATTTGGTTTGCTGGTTTAAATAAATACTCACATAACACAACCCTCAAAAACAATCATGAGCCACAATAGACGATTCTATTTAAAGTGAGTTCAATTACATTTAGCCCACGTATGGTGTGATTGATGAAAAGATCCCTTCAAAATTTCACATTTCCCAAGACGGTTCATGTATGCAAATCGTTGTTGAAGAAAAGAGCGTGTATTCTCTAACCCTATAAGCATGCGTGAATGACGTATTACCTTGTCCATGCATGGGAGACAATTCACTTAGAAATGTCCGTTTCCATGGCAACACATAGGTAAAGCTATTATCACTTAGCACCATACAAATCTGTATTTCATGAACAAGTTTAAGGCACTTAATTCCTCGTTCAGTCAGGATGGTAGAACTCATCTCAGTCCACTATCTGATAACCAAGGTAGCCATTCTTATTCACATGGCAACCAAATGGTATGCAATCGTTTTCTGTTCCTATGGTAACCACAGTGTTACCTCCATACTCATCTTCTCCGTAAGCGTGGTCAAAAGAATGTCGTTGATTTTAACCGTTTGGCCCGTTTCCGGAGATCGTGAAACAACTTTAGAGGCATTGTCAGTTACTGCTGTGAAATAACTTTAGGCAGGTATGGAATTGGACCTGTACTTCCGGGGGGAGTAAAGGCGTAAATATCGACAATCCTGAAGCTCATCCCAATCATCGTCCGATAAAGGGGTAGGGGGTTCTACTGGCAAACTAAAGTCACGTGTTAACATAGGAAGAGGTTTGGTGGAATATATGGGTGGCAGCATGATGGGTGGCAGCCTCAATGGCCGCTCCTGTCGGCGAGTAGTCGCTCTGACTTCAAGTTCGGTATCAATGTTTGGTAACTCGCGTTCGACAACGACCGGTTTGGTACTGTCCATCTTTTCATATGATATAAGTGTACCGACATCTCCATTGGGAAACACTATAGAAGCCTTCAGAGTTCTGTCACTGTCCTGTCGCTGAAAATTGGTCAGTGACTTGTTGTCCTTGCCATTGTCGACAGAGGTAAGTTTCCGGAGTACCCTCATTTTGAACTCCGCTGGCGAGATGTATTTATGTATAGGCGGCTGTGTTGGTTTGCTCTCAGCGCTGTGTGTCTTCCGTTTCCCAATCTCTGTACTGTCTGAGGTCATGTTGAGATTGTCTCCTCCTATATACAGGCGGTGACTTTATCACCGAGGCCCGGTTAAAGATCAAGGAGGCCTATGCTTTATCACTCTGATAACCTCCACCCGTCAATTTCTCGATCGTCTATACCTGTGTGATCTAGCCTTATCACGCCTGTGGGAGACAAACCGCATAGATTAGACACAAGGCAACATAGCAGATAAGTACCAAACAAAAGGGTGAGCTTAAACTTACATAAATACTGGCTTCATATCATTATACTAAATAACAATACATGGATGACGACCTAAACATTCCTCTCTGATTTCGATAACTTTCTGTCTGAGTGGAAATGTATGGCTGAATCCATGCACCTTTGTTCAAGTCCATTAAATACTTAAGATTAAAGAACCCCAAAACGTCGTGCACTTACCAAGCTTAGTACAGAAATACACATGCAACTGTCTATACTGAATACACACGGCTGATAGCCTGCCCACGAACCTCCTCTATGTGGCACCCTACGTACGCCTGTGTACTGATACTCAGCATACGGGACTGGCGTAACACTATTGACGCCACTTTCATTGGCTATTTAAATACACAATCGCACAATCAATCAGTACTAGTAGCGTGTCGGTATTTGTATATTTTTCCATTAAATTTGGGGTCGTATCAGTCGCCCAGGGGATATTCAAGCAACAAAACAACAATTAACCTCTTATGCAAGGAGAGTGGATATAAAACTTCACGTTAAAATGTTCAATTGTGAATCAACTATTTGTGCAACGTTAACGGTTAATGCTTATCGTGTCATGAAATTGAATTACTCGCTCGTGTGCTTTTCAACGTATGGAGTATTATAAAATGTAATTTCTTAAAGTTAATCGGTGTTCTGTTGTTGTAACTATCGAGTTTGGGCATCATGTTATAGTAAAGCATTGTGAAGTCTTGTAGAGCCGATGTCGAATGACGTGACAGTGCTACAGTAAATATAAATCATTGGTATGAAAAGGGACATCAAAATTAAACCTTCAGGCCAACATACACTAGTGTTTATCATACTTTGTGCTTATTAATTGAATAAATGATATATAAACACAAGTGACAAAGGGAAGAACATTGTGTGAATCGTGCCCTGACAAGAACTCGAACTGATGACCTACAGCACGCATTAGCCTAGCCTAAAACATATCTGCAGCTCATTACTCTACACCACCTCACCTTCTTTAAATAAAGGTTTCGATGTTGCAATGGTCAATACTGAGATACTCACAACAGGTACAGTTACAAGCATCATAGATATATATTTCATATTATTTACATTCGTTTATAAGTATGTGGTACATACATATAAGTGCGACTGAATCGTTATATTTTAAAATATATCAAATTAATCGAAACATAATCAATGCAAATTATGATTATCTGCCATGAACATAGCGTTACTAAAGAAACCAGAACAGGTTTCAATACTGATGGAATTAAATGTTAAAAAAACCCCATTAGTTTAGTTTAAGTAAATATTGCTTTCCGATTAGTTATGCTTGTATCTATAATATATTGCTTTCCGATTAGTTATACTTGTATCTATAATGTATATAAGTAGTTGTTGGGACTGGTCCTGATTCAATTGAGCACAGTTATATCCGGAATGAGTTTAGTTAATAACTATTTTTGTATGTAACAATTAAGCTGTGACACAGGTAAAATTCAATGTTTATAAATGCTTTTAAAATTCCATACGAAATCAAACAAGTTTTACAGTTCTCGATCCTAGTAGGTAGGAACTCCATTAAACCTAGGAAATATCAATCGCTTTGATCTTGTAATGGGATAATAATGATTTATTACATAAATTCTATTCATATTTAATAATACATGTTAAGAGCGGAAGTATATAATGTGACTTTATAAACCAAATAGAACCAAATATATTTAAAATTTAAAAAAAAAAAAAAAAAAAAAAAAAAAATTTTAAAAAAAAAAAAAAAAAAAAAAAAAAAAAGTTTTAATAATGAAGAATATATATTGCATCCAACATTTAATTTACTGCACGTGTCCAATTATTGTAGGGTAAATGATCATCAAGACAGAAATAGATCATAAGTAAGCAAGATAATACATACCTTTAACTTCTCAATACACAATCGACTGTCAACTCCAGGTAATGTAAACCAGGTAAAATATGTCAATTAAAATGTTGCTCTCTGTGGGTGGTGGTAGCGTTAAGGATGTAATCAATGGATATGAGGAGATGGCTATGGAACAAGACTTATATAGCTGGAGCCAGGGGGGAGGGACTACCCGTTCCGCGTGACAACTTACCACGAATATATACAAAAATCCAGTGGATTCGGATTTTGTCAGCTTAATGAAAAATTCGAACAATATTTGAGTCTGATGTTTTCTTTATTATTGAAACTTTATTTAAAACAAATGCATTCTGAAGTTGGAAATGATCGCCACAAGACATTAAATATGAATACCAATATTTCAAAAAAGAAACTTTAAAACAAATTGAAATTTTGACATCGCTTATAATCAAGCTCACAATACTTGATCAGTGTAACACCGACACCATTCTACGGAGGTTCAGTGTACACAATACTGATACAATGCATGTGGCAGACTATTGGCCAGTCGGATATGATCGCTTATCCAAACAACAACCTGTAAGTAGGTCCGCTAAGGACAATATAACGACTAGTTGTTTAGTTTCCCACCGTGTGTTTACTTAACCTGAATAAATGTTGGCACACTGCACTATTATAGTATAGCGGTGTTAAACAACCATTAAATATACTATATCTTATTTAACGTCGAATCCAGAGAAGAATTAATATCTCTATTGATTTTAAGAGAAGTCTTCAAAATACCACACGGTCTTAAAAAATAAACGTAGCAAAGAAATTATTTTATAATTATTATCATCACATACATTCTGTTCAGTTGGGCATGTAGTATTTGGAAAACACTATAACACTGTAGAAAAGGAGCTTTTCGCGCGTGGAAATGTTCGCGTTCTGACTCCTTAATTTGTTCGCTGTGTGGAAATTTTCGAGTTAGCAATGGCTATGAAATTGATATATTCTATTTATTATATCTATAATCTAAATAATATATTGATACATGTTAGCTTAACGAGAGTTTCTCGTTAATTTACTCGCGTCAAAAAACGAAAATATTTCCACACTGAAAATTTCCACTTTTACAGTATCCAACCAATTTATGGATTGTTTCCATCTGCTAATTCACCGACACAACAGCTAACAGGGTCAGCGGCATAGTTAAGACACGCATTTCCGGTGTAGATAAGACTCAACCCCCAAATAGAAATTCGATAAATCAGTAAAACGATAGATTGCATACGTGTAAAACATTATACATGTACAGGTATCTATGACAAATAAATATATTACTTCCTGTTTGGCTTCAAGTTGATACATGACATATTGATATATTATGACAATGCTTAACAATGGTCGTGTAGATTGCTGAAGTTGGAGGGTACATGTGCATAGATGCGCAAAAGGTTGATGCTTGATAGAGAAAACATTATTGCTACAAGCAAGAACCCATTTCAAGAATCTTCATTGGAAAATAAGAAATATATTTTGAAATGATACATGGCAGATATTTCACGTTAAGATTTTAAACAATAGGAGAAAATATACTAAACGCAGGACCTATGCAGTAACTGTTTTGATATGTGCACACCGAATCATATGGTACATCGTAGTTCGTTCGTATCTAAAATCCAATGAATACAATGTGTTTTGTATAAACTATATTAATAACCAAACCAAAACCAACCAAACAACCTAGCAAACAACCAGTCTCAATACTGTATCGTTATCCTTTTCAAAAACATCCAAGACTTCAGTCTGCACAGTAAGAGTCAAATGATGCCATGAATCCCAAAATGATTCACCCAAAAATAGTCATCATAAAAAGTTTCAATTGAAAAAAGTTAAACGTATTAGAATACCAAAAAACATAATTTTATAATCAATTTGAATAAAATAATCATGAAAATATCAGTAATTCAATTTGTTTTGGTATTTCCATGTTTATTCTCCTCACGAGCTGCTAGCCAAGTATTTTACCGATATGAAGTATGAATGTCAGTTTCCAAAAGGAAATAATAGGAATCAATATTTGTAACAAATGAGTTAAATGACTCGTAAACAGTACGCACAATTAACTAGGTAATGATCAGCATTAACAATTGACGTGCATTGAAACTGAGGCTTTGGAGAGAAAGGAGCTGATAATGCACATGTTTCTTTATTGGTTATTATTTACATTGACTATCTTACAAAATCAATTGTTTTGTACTTGTCTCTTTTTTTAGTAATACATTAAAGTGTCATGTCTATTGATTTGCTATTTTGGGATTGTTCCTGTAATTATTTTACTTAATCTTGTTACAACTAGCTGTAAATAATACTCACCTAACCTTGTAATTAATACAATTTACTACAAATTATACTGATTTAACCATGTAATTAATACAATTAACTACAAATTATACTGATTTAACCTTGTAATTAATACAATTAACTACAAATTATACTGATTTAACCTTGTAATTAATACAATTAATTACAAATTATACTGATTTAACCTTGTATTTGTTACAACTAACTAAACATTGTATTGCCTTAACCGAGTATTTGTTACTTCATTTATTAACTCCTTCACCCTTGAAGACACATTTGAACTCTTCCAATACAAAGGTTGGAATAGTTTATTATGAAATTTCAGAGGTGAATGAGTTAATGCTTATAATCTCTTAAGTAAGAATAAATACATACTGCCTACCTGTCTGATCTAACCTTATACTTCTTAAAAATACATTCACATATCCAAAAAAAAAGGGGGGGGGGGTAGATATTATAGTTATCAAGGCCCAGAATATGTATATCGATAGAAAAAGTTTCGTATTTTGTTCTTGATTTAACTTTCAAAATTCGTTTTCGATACCTGATGCACAAAAACTTCCCTGTAGACTTTGTCAGTCTATATATCTCAATTTAAACCTAATTTATTTACTGATTAGGGTTACACTATATATGGCTGTCACACGAGTACAATGAATGGAACCTGATTGTTGTAATTAGGTTGTTCCCTAAACAGGTACATTTACTGGGTTACTACTGATAACACTGTATTTAACGCTAAATACCAATCTTCATTACCTCGATCTAAATGTAAAGTGATGTATTTATAAAAGCCACTTATTAATCGCACTAGACCATGCGTAACACTATGGGCCATTTACCTCGCCCAACTTCGTCTATATGCTAATGAGCTACGTGTAGATAGAACGAATGTTATTAAGAAATTTCCTCTTGTTCAATATTGCAATGCAATATGGATTTACTTTAAAGTTAAAAAAAAGTGTACCACATATCTTGTAAATGACTATAGTTCCCATGTTTAATGTTAGAGGGGGGTTCGCGTTGTTTTAGACAGCGTCTTACCATTTTAAGGGTTTGAGGAGTTTCAGTTATTCTTCACGGTGTCAAAGAATTGCTTACTTTTACATTAATTACATATGTGACAGAATATTTTGAAGATAACGACCAAGTGACATCGAAACATTTCTGGATTTGACTTAGCCAACAATAGTTCACTGGTATAGACCTAATATTTAGTGAAACACCTACCATATAACAAGCTTTCCATGCAGTCTTGTCGATAACGTAGAAGTGAAGAGATGGCTTTGTACGCAAGATAGAAAATGTGTATTTAAAACGCTGATTGATTAGAAGACGGATAGCATTACCTTTTACAATGATTATGGGGTTTTTTCAACATAACACAGGTTTTATATCGTTATTTAACGAATAGTGCAAACAAAATAAAATTGCTTTGGACAGAATTATATTTTTAAAAATGATAAAATGCTACAGAGTAGGCGGAGCGTGGAAAAGTATGCATTTTAATACTCTTTATACTATTATGTAAATACTACTTATCTGTCTCCAAAGTTTGGCAGACTATCAGACATTTTAACATATTATTTATATGACTATATGCTATGCAATGACATGTGACATTTCAATAGAAATATATCTGTATGTGGAAATTGTGTATTTTAAGTTGACTGCACATATCAAGAAAAGGTCAAACCTGTTTCCCTTTCATTTGAAAATAGACACGACATCAACCATAAAAACAAACCATAAAGCACTGGCAAAAATGGGGTTTCAAAGCGTATTAAATTGTAATCAAATGGATTTATAGCCATTTTAATGAATGACAACATAAAAGTCATGACAAGAATGCAAAAAAGTTTGAAATCGGTGGAAAATAACCTTTATGGTACCTAGTATTGTGAATTTGAAACAGTTTTGTCTACCTGTACTTGCTACAAGCATAATGTGGCGTGTTTTATGTGCATTTGTAAACTTTATTTCATTAATTTGGTACAGTATTTCAAAACATTCAATATATACTGTGTTAATATGCACTTATTATTATTTTTGTTTTACAAATATTGCCATTCCTGTGGTACATATAAAGAAGATCAAATACTTTTATTTAATACTGATTGTGCATTTATTATTTGTATAACAACCTACATCTCTCACATTTTTTTTTTTGTGCTCAGATATAGGCTCTTTTCCCTCCCTTTATAGTTCCCCATATTTCATATATCACATTATACGACCAATTAAACGTTACTTGCATTCGTGTAAAGTTAAACCCAAATGAGAATTATCAATGCTTTTTAATAAGACGATAACAATATTGTAGAAACTTCTAGGAATAAATGTTAATACGCTTACATCATAATGACGTTACACTCAATACCATATTACCACAAAATAAACTACCAATATTAACAAGAAATTTAGATTGTTACATTTTCTTACCAGTGATCGAATCTTGAATAAAACATCAATATCAGATAAATCCTTGTCTTTATTTGTTTCAATTCAATTTCTGAATAAGATCCGTCTTTATGGTAGAAAAGAAATGATTCATTCTTTAAGACAAAATAAGACAAGTCAATGGTTTATCGCTTGCCAAAAAGATCATATTGAGTTTCAATGACTAGCTAGTTTATTAGTCACATTTCTACGTAAAAGTACGTCCTCAAAGATCATGGTATGTGATTCAACAAGGAACATTTAAAACCAAAGACAACACACCCATACTTATAGCTATAGATGATCAGTCGGTCACACTAGATATCCGGGATCGAAAAAATTTAAATAGATAACAGGAAGG